TCCTCTCTCTCCCTCCCACTCTGTCTGAACAAAAAATGGAAAAATGTCCTCGGATGAGGATAAAAAAAATACTTAGAAAAAATAAAGAATAAAAAAAAAAATATTGCACAGGTGTCTTTTCTCCAGACACTGAGTCATTATTTATTATTTAATATTTTACAGACCAAATTGCCTTTTTATCTAGGTACTACAATTGAGTAAATACATTTAATTCATAATCTCATTTTTTTCTTTATTGATTTTAGAGAAAGAGGAAGAGAGAGAGATGGAAACATAGATGAGAGAGAACATCGTTGGCTGCCTCCTGCATGCCCCCCAGTGGGGATTTGGCCCACAATCTGGGCATGTGCTCTGACTAGGAATCGAACCAGTGACCTCTTGGTGCGTGGGTTGACACTCAACCACTGAGCCACACCGGCCGAGCTCATTTTTTTTTTTTTTTTATGCTCACCCGAGGATATTTTTCCATTTTTTGTACAGATAGAGTGGGAGGGAGAGAGAGGAAGGGGGAGAGAGAGAGAAACATCAACATGAAGGGACACATCGAGTGGCTGCCACCTGCACGACCAACCAGGGCCGGGGACAAACTGCAACCGAAGTACGTGCCCTTAGCGCGAACCGAACCCGGGTCTCTCCGGACTGCAGGCCGACGCTCTAACCGCTGAGCCAAACTGGCCAGGGCTCATTTTTTAATCTATACATATAAAGATCATTAGCTTTTCTTATAATGCCATGTTTTCTTCAAATTCTTTAGCATAGAGACAACAGTTTCACTTTCTTTTCTTTGAAAATAAAGTTAATAATTTAGAAACCAAAAGAAAACCAAGGTGTTCTATATAACTTTTTAGTGAAGTCATTGTATTTTTACTATGTATTGTGTTGTGTTTCCAATCACTTTTTACACAGACTTCATTTTCCCACTGCATGTCTCCTTATAAGAGCTATGTAACTAAACATATTTTGAAAATTCTATAAAATCCTTAATAAAGCTTAAGCTAAAATAACAAAATTATTAAAATGAAAGAAATGGATATAATATATAAACTGAAGAGACTATAATCATTATCTACAATTATACTTTTTAAATTATACTTTTTCAGGAAATAAGTATAAAATACAAAAATGAAAATTGATTATGAATATTAGGGAAACTGTATAAAAGTTTAAACTCTATAATATTGTTCTGATCTAGGTAAAATAACTCTCTTGTGTAGAATAATTTATTGGCTTCTTTAAAACAATATGAAAGCAAAGTGTCAGGAAAAACCCTATAGCTGTCTTTTTATCTATCTATCTATCTATCTATCATCTATCTATCTACCTATCTAACTATCTATCATTTATCTATCTCTATCATTTCTATCACTATATCTCTAGTGTGCATGTGTTTAAAGAGAACATTGAAAAATTTACCAACACTTTACTAGAGTTGTGATGTCTCCCCAATATAAGATTCACTCTTTATACCATTGTTCTTTTCAGTAATGGTAGGAGGAGTCTCCAGGCTCCACTTCCTCCTGCCAAGAAACCTACACCTGAGTAGAGTTAGGAGACCAAGAATCAAAGCTTCAGTAGCCTGGAGTTAAAGCATCAGAGAGCTGGATCTGGAGATGATGCTGAGAAATTTAGAGGCAGAGAGCCAATGTAAAGCAACAAAGAATTGGAGCAGACAAGTTGGTGGGCTGACCAGACCCTAGATTTCCTTAGTCCTGTGACTACTGGAAGAGTAGTAAGGTAAGGAAATTTTCTTGAGACCTCTCCTCTGAGTCGGAAGGGTGCTAAAGTGGCCGTAGGTCGGGGTTGGCCACTGCCAGAATTAGAAACAAACCATAACTACAGGAAAGTTTGCCCAATATACCTGCAGAATTAAAATTTGAAAAGTAATTTGCTATGCAGAAATGTTTTTAGTTTGATGTAATCCCATTTATTAATTTTGTCCTTCGTTTCTCTTGCCCTAAGACTGGGTGATATATTGGTAAAAATTCTGCTACGTGTGTTGTCTGAGATTTTGCTACCTGCAGTTTCTTCTATTTTTTTTTATGGATTTTTATGGCTTCACAACTTATATTTAAGTCTTTTATTCATTTTGAGTTTATCCTTGTGTATGATGTAAGTTGGTGGTCTAGTTTCATTTTTTGCATGCACCTGTCCAATTTTCCCAAAACAATTAAAGAGACTGTCTTTACTCCATTGTATGCTCTTGCCTCCTTTGTCAAATATTAATTGAGCGTGATGTCTTGAGTTGATTTCTGGGTTCTCTGGTCTGTTCCATTGATCCATATGCCTGTTCTTGTGCCAGTACCAGGCTGTTTTTATAATAGTGGCTTTGTAGTATAACCAGATATTCGTTATTGTGATCCCTCTAACTTTGTTCTTTTTTTTTTTTCAAGATTTCTGTGGCTATTCAGGGTCTTCTTAAATTCCATACAAATTTTTGGAGTATTTGTTCTTGGTCTGTGAAATATGCTGTTGATATTTTAATAGGGATTGCATTGAATATGTAGATTGGTTTGGGTAGTATGGTTATTTTAATGAGCATGGTATATGCTTCCATGTTTTTATATATTCCTTGACCTGGAAAATTTTATGTTCAGTGAAATAAGCCAGTCAGAGAAAGACAAGTATCACATACATGATCTCACTTATTTGTGGACTATAATGAACAAAATAAGCTAATGAACAAAATAGATCCAGAGACAGGTATCTGTAATACTTTCAACAATAAAGATAGATTTTTTAAAGTGAATTGAATTTCTAGAAATTAAAGATATAGTTGTTGAAATAAAAACAAACTCAATGAACAGGTTAAATGACAGATTACATGTATTTAAAAGAGGATTGGTGAACTTAAAAAATACATATGTAAAAAATTACTTTGTAGGCAATAAGGAAAGACAAGTAGATGAAAAACAAGAAAGATTAAGAGACACTAGAATAGGACAAACATTTCTAACTTATATCTACTTGCAGTTCCAAAAGTAAAGACTAGATATAATGCTAAAAAAAAATTTAATGTGATATTAGGATTAAATTTTCCCATGTAAACATATAGATCCACAGTCAATTTATTCCAATCAAGACTAAACAAAAAGAAATCTATACCAAGACACACCATAGTAAAACTGAATAAGAGAAAAGGCCAGGTTACCTGTTAAAAGGACCATGGAATTTTTAACAACAGCAACAGGAGTCAGAAGACATAAAAAATTATCTTTAAAAGATTAAGAGACTCTCCCTGCTCCTCCTTTTCCCCCAGAACTCAAGTACTGAGGTTGCTGAACTCAGGTCTGGTCTGACCCCACCAGTCTAACACCTGGTGCTGTTCCAGCCGCCAGCAGGGTATTGTGCTGGATGCTGCTGGTGAGTATTGAAAGAAACGGGGAACACTACAGGAAAAAGATGACAGACAACGTTTCTAACCTCAGGAAGGTGGCACTAGACAGAGCATACATTCCAGGTGGCTATTTCTGTGATTATCTAGAGAACAGCTAGGCACCACTGACCACCAGGAGCCTCTGCTTCTTGCTCACACATGCACTTTCCAGACCGTTGCCCCCAACTGAGCCAAAGGAACAAACACTTCTCCCTTAGGAACTATGAACCTATCCCAGAACTAGCCCCACTTCACACTCTCACACCCCTTTATCTATAGCTTACGTAAATTGTTTAGAAATAACTTACATCTTTCTTCCCCTACTTGATGTGTAAAAAAGCCCATCAACTCCAGGAAAAAAAAATAGATTAAGAGATTATAACTATCAACAGGAATTAAATCTTCAAATATAATGCATTTTCCTATACTCTTATGATACTCATATAATTCCAAATTACTCAACATAAGCACAATATATAGAATTGTATATATGTGTGATAAAACTAGTATGTATACTGTGGTAGGTAGATATATATTGATATAGTACAGTATATAGCACATAGTGGTATAGTAAATAATATAGTATTGTATTGCATACTATTTTTAGAATAGTGGTTATCCAAAAATGAGGGGAGTTAGGAGGGTGGTTTAGGGGAGGAGCACATTCACCACATATTACAATGTTGAATTTATTTACATGTGTCTTGGTTCATTAGTTTATAGTGCATCATAATAAAAAAGCAAACAAGCTTAGACAAAGATAATAGTGCTTTAACCAAGAACTCTGATAAAATAAAATCTCAAACAAAAATGATCTGGATCCCATAAGTAGTTGAACATAAGAAATAGGTAATGACATAAAAATAATCACTTAGTACTATTATTTAACTGCTAATAATCCTTAAAATGTCACAAAAGAAAAATAGCTGTTGAGTTTATGGATGTACTGTGTGACTAGTCCTTCTCATCAACATCGATTGCATTTCTTCCCTCAGGGTTGAGTTGAGATGGAAAGCACAGCTACAGAATGATTTCCTGGTATCATGGACTTGGAATCTCTTTTCTATTACACACAGAAAAACACTTATCACCAAAATAGATACTAATCTGCTTCTAATGGTTCTACACAGGCTCAGAAAGAAATAGGGCAAAGTTGAAATTCTGCATTAAGTATAGGAGGCATCATATGTAGAAAATAGCTTAAGGGCAATATCAAATATAAATTACCTGGAGGTAAATGGTTTAGGATGACTATGTTCATGAAAGTTCTCTGATTTTGTAAATTATTGAATGGTATTATTTTAGGTAGTGATGCATTTTCAATTACTATCTCCATTTAGTTCTACATCACTTAATATTTTCCCTACATCACCTTATGTCACCTTGGCCCTGTGTAGCAATATAGAGAAGAAAGACATTGATTTGAATCAGTCTTGTCAGGATTTGCTGATCCCATCATTGGAATAAGGCTGAAGTTAAATTCAGCCGGGCTTAAAGAATATATTTTTGAACAAAATTTATATTGACTAAACACACATTTCCAATATGTTTTTTTCATTATAACAACCCTGTTCTTTTAAAGCTATTTTTGTACTCCTTGTTTTTACTATTAATTTGATGGGTTTTTTTAAATATAAAATACTTTAAAAATGTGAGTGTCATCATTGTTCAGAGACCATGCTAATCTCTTCTGTATCATTCTAATTTTAGGAAATGTGTTGCCAAACTGAGCACTACTATTAACTTTTAATAAATATTGTCAAGGTTCTATATTAAACTTTTATATTATTTATCCATATCTGTAATGAAGGTTTTTCATATGTGAGAATATAAGTAGCAAATGTTCCTATTAGCAAGTCGTATTAGAAAATCTTTAGTGAGATTTAATAGAAGTAAATATGTTGCTGGAGAACTTAAACTATTGATTATTTCAGAAAACAGTACTGCTTTATATTTTAAAAACTTGAAATAAAGTAGGTACATATATAATAATCTTAAATGATAGCAGCTGACAAAAAATGAAGCTGTAATTAAGTTCAGGTCAGCGAAAAGAGAACACTTTTCATAACATAGCTTCCAGATTTCTTTTCTTATATCATTAAAGATTTTAGAGCAAAAGCCTATCAATAAATAAAGTAATCAGTACTTACACCATAAAAAATACTTTAATAGCTATATAGAAATATAATATTTAGACTAATAAAATATACAAACACAAACAAATATAATAAGGCACATTATTCAGTAAATAAGGCAGGAATATATTTAGCTTCCAGATTCATTTATGTCACAAATGTCAGGATTTTCTTCTTTTTAAGGCTGAATAATATTTCATTGTATGTATATGTCACAGTTTTCTTATTAATTCATTTGCCAATGTATATTTAGATTGCTTTCCATGTCTTGGTTATATGCTTCAATATATAATGGGGAGGGAGATATCTCTTCGAGATTCTGATATCAATTCTGATATCAATAACATAAAGAAATGGCATACTGTAGTTCCATTTTTAATTTTTTGAGGAACCTCCATATAGTTTTCTATAGTGGCTGCCTCAATTTATATTTCCATGAAAAATATGCAAGGGTTCCCTTTTCTCCACATCCTCACCAAAACTTGTGTTTTTGTTTTTATAATAGCCATCCTTATAGGCATGAGGTGGTATCTCATTGTAACTTTGATTTGCATTTCCTTGAAGATTAATGATGTTGAACACCTATTGATCATTTGTATGTCTTCTTAGAAAAAGTTTGATTCAGTTCCTTTGCTCATCTACTAATTAAATTATTTGTTTTCTTGCTATTGAATTGTAGGAGTTTCCTATATATTTTGGATATTAACCCTTTATCAGATATATAGCTTGTAAATATGTTCTATTCTGTAGGTTATCTTTTAATTTGGTTGCTTATTTACTTTGTTGTTTAGAAGTTAAATATTTTAGTGTTCTGTGTTTCTTTAATTTTTAACCACTTTATTGAGGCATAATTGACATACTAAAAGCTGTACATATTTAATGTAAACAACTTGATAAGTTTGGAGATAAGTATACACCTTTGAAACCATCAAGGCTTCTTATTTTTGAGAAATGTATAAGGCTTTATTTTATGAGAAATCTAAAATAGTCAAACTCATAGAGGTTGCCAGGGTCTGGGAGAAACCAGGAATAGGGAGGTATTAGTCAAAGGATACACAGTTTCGGTCATACTATATAAAAAAGTCCTAGAGATCTACTGTGCACCACAGAGCCCGTAGCTATTAATATTGAATTGTATACTTAAAAATTTGGCCCTAGCTGGTTTGGCTCAGAGGTTGGAGCGTCTGCCTGCGGACCAGAGAGTCCGGTGTTCAGTTCCCGCTAGGGGCAAGTACCAAAAAAAAAAAATTTTGTTAAGAGGGTAGATGTTATGTTTGGTTTTATGATAAAATAATAATAATAATAAAGAGAGTTGGAGGAAACTTTGGATGTGATAGATATGTTTATAGCATAGATTGTGGTGATGGTTTCCCAGATATATATTTATCTCCAAATTCATCAAGTTTATACATTAATTATGTATAGTTATTTATCCATCAATCATACCTCAATAAGTTTTTTTTTTAAAAGAGTGTATTTTCCTAAAATAAACCTTATCTTTTTTCTCTTTGTTTTATATATGCATCCCCAAATCTCAAATATTATTGATTAAATTATGAACATTTGTATACTATTATAAATTATTTGGAGGAAACCTGAAATAAGATGCAATATCTTTGAATATGCAACAAGAGTTTGCAACACAGATATTTAAGGTAAATGTCTTACTGTCATGAACATAGGCATAAGAAATAAAACTGAGTTTGAAACTTGGCTCAAATGCTTCCAAGCTGATGATTTTGGCCAAGTTTTCTCATCAGAATATGTAGCTGGTAACTACCCTAGAGGTAGGTTTTTAACATGAAATGACAAATGCACATACTGATTTGGGAAAAGATCTGTCATGTAATAAACACTCAGTAAATGGTCATTATGTCACTAACTTATTTTGAAGGAGAACATGAAAAGAGAAATAGAAAATAAATGCTAGTCCAAACGCTGATCACCTAAATATTCAGTGAGCTTAATACAATTCAGGATTTAGTCTGAGAAAACTTAATTAATAAAGTCATCCATTTCCTTCCTCACATAACTTGATTTTGGAATAAATCTGATATTTATTTGGAGATGGCCTCTATTTTTTTTTTTTGTCAGTGCTTGCTTTAGGCTCATGACGTAAAACAGCAAAACATATATGATACTAGGGAATATGGGATGTGAGAGGGCTAATTTGGTGGACCGAATAGAATTCCTGTGGATGTCATGATTTTTAGAAACTGACAGAAAGCTATATAATACCATATTTTCATGTTCACCCTAAAGTAGCAAGAACCACCTAACTCTTAGCTCCAAGGTTTTCTGATTGGCTGGGTTATTACTCTGGGAAGCTTTATAGCTGAACTTTAAAATAAATCCACATGATTTGGGGCTTTAAATTCAATTTCCGGAATATTAATCTAAGAGAACAACAGACATTTATTCTGCCAAGCTGCACAATTCTTCTGTGAATGACTGAAAATCTTATATTGCCTTCTGTCACCGTAAGTTGCATGAAAGGCAGTAACTCCTTAATGGATATTTGTTCACCTGTCTTATTTATTCCAATAAAAAAGCTGAAATAAATATACACTTGCATTGCTCTTAGATTTATTCACAGAGGAATTATCTGTTAGGAAGTCAGTTATATCCCTGAGACACGCATCTCTTCTCTGTGTGTAGTAAGCCACCAGATGGTAGCTCTCCACAGCTCTCGTGGGCTGTGAATTGGCATTAATTGAAACATCAACACTCACTTCAAGGCTCCTATAGAGAAACCATGTCCCCAGATCTCCAAATCCTCTAAACCATACATTTAGAGTGTACTGCATTTAATGTTACTGTTTTTGTTTTGCAAAAGTGGATAACATTTTTACAGAAAATGTTACATATGTGATAGAAAAAGAAATCCTTGAAATTCTGTCATTTATATTTCACTTAAGTTTATTCTGATTCTAAATGGCTGCAAATAGCTTTTTTTTTCAAGATGGTATAAAATATTGCTATGATAAATTTCACTCTAAGAAGGATATTATTTTGAATTGCTTTGATTTCTCTGAAGATATACATAGATTTTTTTTAATGATGGAAAATAAAAATAAATTACTACTTGATCATCTCCTGTATCATTTTCGTGGCCATGAGCTAGAATAACAAAAACACACTTAAACAGATAATACCTACTCAAATAAGTAATGCCCCATCTCACTATTTTTTTCAGAAAACATTTTTTACTGGTTAGTCCCTAAATGTTGTCAAAATACTATAATAAAATCTTGATTTAATTTAGCACATATTGATTGGAATCTCATATGTGCTATACATTGTACCGGGCATGATGAAAAAACAAAGACGGCTATGCAATAATTTCTAAAACCTTGAGGGAGAATTCAGCATAAATGTAGAGACAAAAAGAATGACTTCAGAAAAACTGTGGTGTTTTAATAGAGACACAAAAATAACCATTCTTGGGAGAGATCAGGAAAAACATTGAAATGTAATGAGAAAGAAACTGGATTAGAATAGATGGAGATGGTGTAAGGACATTTCAGACAGCGAGAACAAAGTTATCAAAGAATAAAAAATGAAAGTAGTTAGTGGGAAAAGTTCCAGAAAAGAGGTTCAGTAAAGTGAGTAAACTGAGATGTAGACTCTACTCTGGAAGTTCATTGGTGACTTTACACAAAGACAGTTTTTATTGACGTGAAATTTTAAAAATATTATTCGAAATTAAGGTAGGATAATAGTTTTTATCCTAAGACAAATGACTCATCTTGTATCTCAAAGCAAGCTTATTTTTACATTGCATAGCATTTCCTCAGTATATGAAGGTGAGGTTAAAAGTCAGATTACAAGGGAATTAAGGACTAAATGGTAACCAAATAGATCAGTTTAAGAAGCGTTGATGGGGAGGCAGCGGGGAAGATGACGGCGGCTGTTCCACAGCGAGCAGCTACCCAAGAAGGACATTATCAAGTTTCTACAGGACCATGGTTCAGATTCGTTTCTTGCAGAACATAAGTTATTAGGAAACATTAAAAATGTGGCCAAGACAGCTAACAAAGACCATTTGGTTATAGTCTATAACCATCTTTTTGAAAGTAAGCATTTCAAGGGTACTGAAAGTATAAGTAAAGTGTCCAAGCAGGTGAAAAATGTAAACTTAATGAAGATAACCCCAAAGAAACCAAGTCTGAAGAGACTCTGGATGAAGGTCCACCAAAATATACAAAATCTATTCTTAAAAAAGGGGATAAAACCAACTTCCCCAAAAGGGGAGATGTTGTTCACTGCTGGTATACAGGAACACTACAGGATGGAACTGTTTTTGATACTAATATTCAAACGAGTTCAAAGAAGATGAAAAGTGCCAAGCCTTTAAGTTTTATGGTTCGAATAGGTAGTTTTCAGAGGATGGAATGAAGCTCTGACTATGAGCAAAGGAGAAAAGGCTCAACTGGAGATTGAACCAGAATGGGCTTATGGAAAGAAAGAACAGACTGATCCCAAAACTCCACCAAATGCAAAACTCATTTTTGAAGTGGAATTTGTGGATATTGATTGAAATAGCAATACTTCAGATCTCAAGACATCAGCATGGCCTTGAAGAAAGTTATGTAACTA